TCATAAAAAACTGTAATAAACTTAAAATATTTATGTATTTGATTGTGCATACTCTACTTGCGTATACGTGTATTGAGTGTAAATTTTGTATATAATATATGTATATAATATATTATGAAAAAGTGAGAATACTGAAATAGGTAATGGTCCATTATTGGAAATCTCAAATGTCTCTTACTTTATTTGAAAGCTTCATGTCGAAGCCGGCGCCATCTCCAGTAGGAAACTCAGGAGGGAAAGACATCACTCGGCAAGCATTGCGAATTCCACACAACTGCAGATCATGCTTCGTTATGATTTCACCTTCTTTATATACCTTAAATCCGCATTTAGGTATTGCTTCCAATAGTTTTTCATTTGTCTCAAAACGATCCCAGTCTCGTTTATGTTGGTTTTTTTCATCCTGAGCTTCAAACGAATTGTCTGCACCATTCAAAAATTCTAAGTCACCGTTGCGACGGAACTTATCCAATGTTACCGTAACTTTACTCTCTTTGTTGCGTCGGTGCTCTACGCGTCGTAGCTCCTCATTATACTGGTGATCAAACTGTGACTGAAGCATTTGAGCGATTACAGCGTCAGAATCGCACTCGAAAGTTCTTTTTAAATGTTGTTCAGGCAATGGCTGTTTATCTACAGCTGTACTGTAAAAACAATCAAATTTACCGCTTAGGTCTGTGTTATGCAGAAATTTCGTCTGACTTCCAAAACGTCAATTCCTTTGCATCCTTACAAAGTATAATGTTTTATAACGCGAAACTACAAAATGTTGACAATGTATACTTTTGCGGATCCGAAAAGTTATCGAAAGGCATCGTTTTTGGTTGCCATTAGTGTTTTAAGAATGGAATTATATTAGATATTCAAAATTTGCAAGGTATATGGTTACAATGTTTCGCAACTCTGCATATAGACACGGTTTAAATACCGCAGAAGAACAGTATTCAAACAATTAGGGAGTTCACAAGGTGTTGTATACTGTCGTACTGTTGTATGTCATAAACTTTAAACGGCTAAAACTATATTTAAGGAATTCGCAAGCTAACATAAAAGTTTTATTATGAAATTTCACACAATTAAAAAATAGTTGGTGGTGATTTCAAAACCTCTAAACATTTATTTAGCCGATAAAAACTTTACAACATACAACAATACGACAAGTACGACACCTTGTATTGGTACTTTTTGGAAGTCAGCTTTTGTTTGGCAAACTGCATGCAGTTGTTGTTGCAGCAGACTCGTTTGGCGACTCTCACTTAAATGCGAAGTACACCACAAAAGCGGTAAACGTAATATCCCTTTGCTTCAAGCCATTTCTGTTGTACAGTTGCGGTCAAAATAATAGCAGCAAATTTCAAAATGATGCTGTTAACAACATATCTTTATTTATTTTTTGTTAAAAATTTTCATTTTGAATATGGGTAGATATATCAGATACCACATAAATAAAAGTTTCAAAGTTTGCACAAAGTTCGCAAAACCTAATTAAACTTAAAAAAATTTCATCAAAATTTCGATTTTTTTAATTGGATTTCCTAGAAATATTTCGAGTACCTACGCCCATTCAACTTTAGTATAATAAAGTGCAAGTTCCAAGTCGCTAAAAATTACACCTGATTTTTTAGAATTTGTTTGTCGAGGGTGTTGCGCATTTTCTTCCTATAACGCATGAACAAAACTTACTTTTATATGGAAGAAAATGCGCAACACCCTCAACATAAAAAATCAACGGTAATTTTTAGCGACTTGAAACTTGCAATTTATTATACTAAAATTGAATTCGCTTTAAAACTGCCTACTCGAAATCTCTCAAAGAAATCTAATTAAAAAATCTAAATTTTGATTAACATTTTCCTAAATTCAATTAGTTTTTGTGAACTTTGTGAAAGCTTTGAAACATTTATTTATGTGGTATCTGATATAGATCGACCCATATTTTAAATGAAAACTATTAACAATAAATAAATAAAGATGAGTTGCCAACAGCATCATTTTGAGTTTTGCTGCTACTATTTTGACCGCAACTGCATGTGGGGATGTTTGAAGGTTTGACAAGCCGCTTCAAACCTAGTTTTCCCATTTCACCATACACCATGTAAACATGACTCGTTGAACCAAAAATTTTAGTTTTCTTCCGGTTCATAATGTTAAAAATTACTGGTTTCTTCCATTTTTCTCTCTTACGTCCTCCCTCGGTGAAAATTCCGTTGCAAATGAGAAGAATTCATCATTCACAACGCAAGCGGTTTGACCAAACGTGAACATAGCGGCCAGAAAATCAAAAAATTTGGATTTTTTTTTTCCAAATTTCCCTCAAGCGGCTTGTCAAACATTCAAACACTCCCATACACAGCGCAAATGGCTTGAAGCAAAGGGATATTTCGCTTGGTTTGTCAAGCCGCTGGTGTTGTTAATTCTCTCTTACATTTTTTGGCCGCATGTTGTTGTTGTTGTAGCAGCATACAAATTCCCCAAAGAGCTTTGGGGAGTGTTGCTGGAGTGACAGTCCTTGGCCAGATAAAAGCATGGGTCGTTCCGGTTACGTAGACCCGACTGTCGTGGGAACGGTTGGCCGCATGTTAAAGTTTGATCAACTCGCTTGCGTTGTGTATGGTGAAATCATCTAATTTTCCCCCAATTGAGCACGTAAGAGAAAAACGGAAGAAAACCACGAGTCGTGCTTTCATGGTGTATGTGAAAAGTAGATATGAAGTATGTTTTACAAGCCGCTTGTGTGGTGTATTTCGCTCTTAAATTTGTTGAGCCAAACTGCTGTAAAATTAGTGTTGCCATATACAAAAATTTTAGGTTATTGTTGGTTATACACAAAAGTTGCATGGAAATCAGAAGAAGGAAATTGAATTTTTTCTGTAAGACGTTCAAAGCACGATATGTATTTGCATATGTAAATGCTACTTTTTTGTATCTACTCGTATGTGCCATATATTAGAACGCACCAGAAAAGCAGCATTATCTTGTAATAGCGCTACGCTATTAGGAACCTTTTACGCAGACGTACATATGATCCCTGGTCACGGCAATTTTTCTCTAATTTTTTAACAGGCTGTTAAACTGGCTTTAGACGATATGTATTTGCTTCTGTAGATGTCATAAGACATACATATCAGTCAAATGACCAGCGTGTTTCTTTCACTGAGTTGTATTTCTTTGGTCTATCTTTTACTACTTTTTACGTTTTGTGTTATGAATTGTAAAACACAAGTAGGAAAGGGTGTTTAAAAACATGTAAAATACAAACAAAACAAGGGTGGCTGGCAATAAGTTTATTCCACATACATATGTACTACTTTGAACACATCTGCAGCAAAAATGTACCATTCTGCTACTAAAAGGAGAAATAGTAAGAAAATACACCATTTCCCCAAGGACAGGTTTTTCAGTGCCAGGTTAAACTTAAGATCACGTAAACTGCGTTTATATTGAACAGCTGGCTGACATTTGATTTGCTAATCTTAGCTTAAACTAGGCAGCTTTAGAGTTTAAACTAACAAAACTATCAAGCCAAGAAAAATTAAACAGGGGTCGGTCCAACGCGGTGGTGTCTTTTTCCCGCTACTGTATCTTATGCTGACGACTTTCGACAATGGCGTCTGAGAATGGAATTGATGACTTGTGCTCGAAAGTATACAGTTGCCTATCCGAACTTCTCGATTCTTCACTGCAGAGAGCCTAACCCTCTTCTCTACAAAATCCCCGGCAACCCTTTTTACCACCTGGACGAAGGAGGTCAGACTACAGCTGGGAGTTCCCGTCGATGGCATTCAAATTCCGGCAGTCAATAACCCAAAAGTTCTCGGAGTTACATTCGATAGTCTGCTCTCCTTTTCGGCACATACAACCGCAATTGTCAATAGAGTACAGAGCCGCAACAAGACCCTCAAGTCGCTAGCCGGGAGCACCTGAGCTAAAGACAAAGAAACGTTACTGGCAAGATACAATGCGATATGCCGGCCGGTTCTAAACTATGCAGCGCCCCTGTGGTCGCCGGGGACTAGTGGGATGCAGTGGACGAAGCTGCGGACCTGCCAAAACACAGCACTCCGGACAGCCACCGGATGCCTTCTGATATCGTCACAACCCATCTAAACGATAAAATTGCATAACACAATGCGTACTCCGCAAGCAATTCCTAGTAGGGTGTCACCGACGTGGGCACCCGAACAGACACCTGCTTGCGGCGGAGCCCTCGTCAGGGCAGAAAGCACCTATACGAACTGACGGACAAAGTCCAGAGGTTCATAAAGCAAGCTCTGAACCCGACAGCATACCGTCAGTATTTACCTACACTGACTCTCGACCTGTGAATGCCCTTTTGGGAACACAACCACTTGGCGTCTGCCTCAAGAGAATCACACCACAATAGCCCAACTTCGCTCTGGCTACTGCAGCAGGTAAAACTCGTACCTGAGCGCATTACATAGATGCAGATGTGTCCAACGAGTGCCCGGTATGCGGAGACACCTCACGACTCGAGACATCTCTTCGCATGCCCCCTAAACCCCACTCAGCTAAAGCAAAGCATAAACGTTGCGACCATTGGTACAACTTGATGATGTGTACTAGATGGCAACGTTAGTGGGCCCGTTGAATGAAGTTGTATCTTGGTTGTACAAAGGTAAAAAAATTTTGATTTTCCAGCAAGTTTTTCAACTCGTCTCAACGTTAATGGGCACGTTGCACAACGTTATTCTATTTTGGGTTTATTTTCGTGGTAACCACATAATAAAAAACATTGCGTGTGAGTTTTATATGTTCACTAAATAAGGCAAAATGGATAACTCAGCCGAAATGCGTGTTTTTGTTGAATTTTATAAATGTATGCCACAGCTATGCAATTTTATAAATGAGATTGTGCAATAAATTGCACGCAAAATTGTAACGTTTGCGGACAAAACATCCAACTTAATTACGAATCGAGTGCACCAACGGTAGCAAAGTTTATGGCTTGCATAAGGTTATAGCAATCATACAAATATTTGCTGTTAGTAATGAATGTGGTTGTGTCAAAAACAGATGGTTTTCTTTCTTTATGCCTTCATACATGATTCAATAATAAAAGGTTTGCTCAGAAAATAGTTTTCTCGCTCCCTCTTGACAAAATCGGCTCCCTTAGCAAGGCACTGCGTGTGGGTTCGTGTGTGTGTACAAAGCTTTTGTAAGGGAGTTAAGGGAGTGTCAAAACTCGAATGTCAATAATGAGCAANTCGTGTTGTGTACAAAGCTTTTGTAAGGGAGTTAAGGGAGTGTCAAAACTCGAATGTCAATAATGAGCAAACTTTTAATTATTGAGTCATGGCCTTCATATTCGTATGTATTTACAATGATAAAAGCATTAGAAGGTAAAACCATTCTCTCAATTCGTCGGCCATAATTTTCTTCTGACGTTTGCAAACATTTTAAAATCATGTAAAATTGAAAACAAAAGAATGAAATTGTTCACAATTGTGTTACCTTGTAATGTTTTATCATGGTATTTACTATATGTAAACTACTATTTACTATTTCCTTTCCGATTTTTCGCCGAATTTTCTAAAATGAAATGTACTGTGCCCACTTTGATTCTTTTACGAAATTTTGGAAGAAAATCTGCAAAGAAATTAAATAATGCTGCGATGTGAAGAAT